TTCCCCACAAAAAAAATAGTCCAACTGTATATTTTCTTGTTTTGTACAGAAAGAAGGGAAAATTTAGAATTGATTTGAAGGGGTTGTTCAAAACTTAAACAACAATTTTTTGTTGTTCTAAAGTTTGTCATTATTTTACTCAAAATTGGTTACTTTTTACCCCAAACCAACATATGGACTGGCCCTTTAGTTTTCACCCCAAAATTCTAAACATACGGGACTTGGTCCTTAAAATTTATCCAATTTTTAAAAATTATAAAATTTGGACTAAAATTTTTCCCCCAAATTTTTAAACATTACATTTTATCCCAAAATTTGAACATTTAGACTGGGCATTTTAAATTTTCATCCCAAAATTCTAAACATATAGACTGGCACTTAGATTTCATCCCAATTTTAAACATATAGACAGGCACTTACATTTTATCCAATTTTAACATATAGAATGCGTCCTCACATTTTATCCCAATTTTAAACATTTAGACGGGAATTTACATTTATTTCCAAATTTAACATATGGACTGGTACTTTACATTTAATCGTAAATTGGGTGTCTTATCATATAGACTGGGTTATTCTTGTTTGAATCACTATGCTTTGGCAGGTAATTGTTTAGGCATTCTTAAATGATGGCTGAAATGTTAATATAAACAAAATTACACAGTGTAGATCCAGTGAATAAAATAAATATTCAGAATTAATTCATGAATAATATTAATTTACATAGTTTCATAGCATTGTACTTAAAGTCATCACATTTAAACTGAAGTTGGTTTTTTGTTTTTGTTTTTGTTTTTTAATATTTATAAGTGATGAATGCAAATGGCTAAACACACTGTCATTAAACCACAGTGTTACTTTAAAACACTTACTAAGCGAGATATCTTTAAATGGACTCATCAATCTTTTGTTTTGACTAAAATATTCTAATTTTTAGAGAAAAAATTTTCAAAAATTCTACTAATAGAAGAACAGTTGCAAGACCATAATGTGAATAGAACAGATGTTGCCTGAATGATATTGGGTCAATGTAACTTGTTGCACGAGATATTATAGCTGTTGCATGTTACGGAAATCGTGAAATTGCAGGGTAATCCTACAATATTTAAAACAAGGTGTCCCCCTAAACTTTTATACCAATTGTCATCATTTTTGACCTTTGGAGTATTTTTAATTGTTTCTGCTACTTTAGTTCCTTTGGTTTTAATAAATAGGATTTACCCTTTTCCTTAAGTTACCAGTAATTTTAAAGGAGTAAAATCATTGATTCATTAAAAACATGGCAAACAGACAAATTTTTTATAAATAGGCAATGAGCGAACATGTTCAAGCAGACAACTAAGACAAAAGGATAAAGTAGACCCTCTTAAATATATCCTACTTTCTGTTTCAACAAGTACAAGTAGTAGTTCTTCAAAAATAACGATTTGCTAGCAAAATAACTAAAAATCCAGACTGACAAATTTCTGCTTTAAAAAATACCAACATAAGTCTGTTTCTCTCACTGAATTTTTTACCTACGTCCTTCATAATTTCATTTCCCTCAAAATGTTTTCTGAAGAAGAAAAACCCATCAATGTCATCACTAAACAATAAATTTAATGTACAGGACTCAAAATTCAACCAACAAGAATTAAAAGAACCACCACTTGTCGTACAGACATATTTGTATGGAGGATACCAGCAAAATTATATGAGCCGCGTCATGACAAAACTTACATAATGGGTTTGCGACCAGCATGGATCCAGACCAGCATGCGCATCTGCACAGTCTGATCAGGATCCCATGCTGTTCGTTATCAGTTTCTCTACTTGTTATAGGGTTTGCTAGCAAACAGCATGGATCCTGATCAAGACTGTGCACCGAGTGCGCAGGCTGGGTCTTGGATCCATGCTGGTCGCAAACGAGAGACGTTGGTTTTGTCGTGAAGCGGCTCAATTATGAGAATAGTTTACTCACGGGCGACGGATCTGTGGTGTGTTTGGTTTTGTTGTTTTGTTGTTCTACATGATGTTGCTGGTGTGTTTTGGTTGTGTGCATCTAATTGCAATAAACTTGGATCATCGTCCTGAAAGTAACGTTTGACAATAAGCTACGACAGTAACATTCCTATTTGGTAAAACTATAGGTGTAAAATTGCACTGTATATAATGTGCAAATTTAACAATATCTGTATAAATGTAATATCATGTACTTTTAGCAAGTACCAAATTAAGTATTCTCTTTTATCAACATAAATTGTGTATGTATTAAACAAAATATCAAATTCCTGTCATTTTGTATTACACTTATTGAAACATCTGCTAGTGCCCCATTCTACACGAAATCATTAAATTTGATAAGCGAAAATAAAAAAATACTGTAAATTTGGTAGTATCTTCAATAAGGCATAAATTCTGTTACATTTTGATACAAGGGCTCTGCTTGTATGAGTGGTGAAAGTCATTGACTTGAAATCACTTGCCTCACATCATTGTGGGTTCGAATCTTGTCACAGACTTTGGACTCTTTCATGTGAAGTTATTCCTTACGCATTTGGTGGTTTCTACTCCCGGCAAATTCCCCGTGCTTTAAATATATGTACAAGGGGCACGCACACTTTTAATATCTGTTAAAAAAAACTACTTTACCTTTTTTATTGTAAAATAAAGGGACAGGAATTGTCCTGTTGACCCTCTTTTTTTCTTGGCATCCCCCATTTCTCTTAACTTTGGAAAATTATGTAAAAATTCTCCTTTCTTAAAAAGGGAAATCTTCGGGGGCCCCGGAATGTGTTTTTTATTAAAATTAGACAGAGTACTTTGCAAAAGAGAAATAATTTAATTTCTCAAAAAAGTGTTTGATTTTTTTGGTTTTTATTTATTTCACTTTTCCCGGGTGTGCCCCTATAAAAAAAAACCCGCCTTAAAGATAAGTTCACCAAGACCAAAAATAACCCTATGGGAATTTTTCTGGTAAAAATCATTACTGCTTGTTTGAACCAAATAACCCTGACAGATATTTTGCAATATATAACTAAGGTAAATCGATCGTTATGTTTTATTTTGAAGTTGCTGGATACTCAAAAATTTTGTGAGTAAAGAAATTAGGTTTGCTAGCAGGACCCCAGTGCATTGAACACTGACTTCACAAGATCTGACCAAAGATAGACAATAGAGCTTATGCTTCTTATTCGTCAGAATATTCTTGTTCCTTTAGAAGAACCCATTTCATATCTTATTTTACCCAAAATGGTGTTTAAAAAAATTCCCAATGAAAAGGCAGTAAGTGTCAAAGTTCATTATTTGGCTGTTTACTGTCCCCGGATGTACTTAACTTCTTTAAACCAAAAATGGGGTAAACCCCAAGGGGCAAAAGACAGCAAAAACTGGGCTATTTATGTTTAGGTAAGTATCTATAGCTTGTCAATCAATACATGGATGTTTAAGGTAGTTCCAATTAAAATGACCGCTATTAAAAATTTTATATAATATTGACAAATACCAAAAAAAAAATAAATAAAATTTTCCCGAGAAAAAATGTGTGCAAAAAAAAATATTCTCTAACAGTAAGGGGTCGAAAAAGTTAATGTAAAAAAAAATTTTTAAAAATGTAATATAGAAATTTAAAAAAACAAAAAAATTTTGAATTAGTTTTTTAAGCTAAAAAAATGTTTTAAAAAATACAGGACCAAAAATTTACAAAAAGCTTGAAAAAGGGGTATCTGACTATTTCAAAAAACAGACTACATATAGAGAGTCGAAAATAGAAAACTATTGAAAAACAAGAGGGCCTTTGATGGCCCTAGATCGCTCACCTGACTTATCAAACTCATCCAAACAATTCCCCAAGACAAGCATTCTGACCAATCTCCATGACAGGTGAGTCAAAAATGTGACCACTACAGTGTTAACAAGGATTATCCATATTTGAGCAGTGCGACCTAGTTTTTACCCAGGTAACACACATATTCAAACTTGACCTAGAAATCATCAAAACAAACTTTCACACCAATTTCCAGGATACTTGGATCAAACAGTAGCAACTAGAGTGTTAAAATGATTTTTCTATTTTTAGCTCCGGTGACCTAGTTTCAACATGCGATTTCGAACTCATCCAAGAACAAGCATGCCTGACCAAGTTTGATGATAATTGAGTTGAAAATGTGACCACTTAGAATGTTAAACAAGGTTTTTCCATATTTGGGCGGTGTGACCTATTTTTTCATCCAAGATGACCCATGTTCGATTTTGACTTAGAAATCATCAAAACAAACTTTCAGACCAATTAACAGAATATTTGGATCACACAGTAGCCACTAGAGTGTTTAACAAGATTTTTTCTATTTTTAGCTCCTGTGCCTAGTTTTTCATCCGAGATGTCCCATGTTCGATTTATTCCCAGCAATGACCTAGACAAGTTTCCTGACCAAGTTTGATGACACAATTGAGTCAAAATTGTGACCACTAGAGTGTTACAAGGTTTTTTCTATTTTCAGCTCCTGTGACCTTGTTTTTCATACGAGATGACCATGTTCGATCTCATCTGAGCTATCACCTAGACAAGCATCTTGATCAGTTTGATGATGATTGATGCAAAATGTGACCGCTAGAGTGTTTACAAGGTTTTTCTATTTTAGCTCCGGTGACCTACGTTTTTTCATCCTTGAATGACCCATGTTCAAACTCATCCGAGCTATCACCTAGACAAACATCCTGACCAAGTTTGATGATGATTGATGCAAAAAATGTAACCGCTAGAGTCGGTTAACAAGGTTTTTTCTATTTTTAGCTCTTGTGACCTAGTTTCTCTTTCGAGTTGACCCATGTTCGAACTCCATCCGAGCTATCAACTAGATCATCCTGACCAAGTTTGATGATGATTTGAGGCAAAAAATGCAACCGCTAGAGTGTTAACAACTAAAATGTGAACGGACAACGGACGATTGACAATCATCGATCCTAAAAGCTCACCCTGAGCATGCTCAGGTGAGCTTAAAACAAAAAACATCTAATCATACCTTTCCTGGAAAATCATACTTTGTTATTACTTTTTCTCTTGGGGCCTGAAAAAAAAACAACAAGAATTGAATAAGTATATTAGTATGGTGTTTAAATTTGAAGTATATGTATAAGTATGTTTTGTATAAATTCCAATAAAATGAAAAAAAAATATTCTAGAAGTTTCTAATTCATATATGAATAGAGAAATATACATTTTGTAAATGAAAAATAATAAATTGGGAAAGGTCATATCTGTAGAGAACATTCAGCTATCCTTAATTGTAATTAGCTTGTCAAAATGATCTGAATAATGTAACACTAAAATGTTACTTTTCTTTAAGTAGTATAAATAATACCAAATGCATCTTCTAGTTATCGAAAGTTAAAATTTGGCAGAAGAACGTTCTATGTTATCCCTCTGACATTACTGTATAAATAGATTTTCTGCATTCAAAATGTTGCCAAATGAAATAAACAAACATTTTGGTGTGTAGAAATATTAATGAATCGTGCAAGGGTAGAAATTTAGTGACAGGTTGGTTGATATCTACCCTAAGAGGGAATTTCAAGTGATTTTTGTCTATTCACGTCATTTGCCAATATTTCCATATTGATAACTTAACCACTTATACAGTACCACTTATAAGCTGAAAAAATCTCTGACTAGATGTTTGGTTAAAATATTTGTTTAATAATAAAGCAGATGAAATTTTATTTACATTCACTAGAAATATACTGTTACTTATTACTACAATGAAATATCTTCACAGAATGATACATGTACAACTAATTTCATGTTCATGATGCATCATATTTCTAACATGCAACTTATGAAGCCATAAAGTTCAGCCAATGTCTCTAAATTTTGCCAAGAAACAAAAATATGGTTTAGACAAGAAAATCCATCTTGACTGGCAAAATGTACTAATTTTTTTTTAATTATATATAAGCAGTATGACAACAGACCAGTAAGCCTCATTAACTTGTGGTCTACAATTTCAATTAGTTACAATTATTCCTACTGTTGTGACATCATAATTATAAAAGATAGAAAATTAATAAAATACCGGAACAGTAAGTGCCGTGGTGTCGAGATAATGCGTCTTGTAGAAGTTAAGTAGAGCAGGTATATCGGGAAACTGTTGGTCTCCGATACGGAACATCACATTCCCGCCCACCTGGATGCGATTGATGATATAATGGCTGATTTTATTGTCTTCTCTGAATATAACAAAAACAAGAAAAAAAAATCAATAATAACAAAATAGTCAATATCTTAAATCTTATTTCAATATTGCATTTTTTCTTTTTATTATTAAACATATACTATTTGTTTAAATTACATTTGTATCTATTCGGAATGCTGTCAGTTGATAAAATTGGATGTAGGTCCTTATCATTTAACCCTTTCCCCCATGAGCATATTGTGAAAAATGGCCATTTTCACTGAAAAGCCTCCTGTTACAAGTTCAAACTGCTATGAAACTATGAAAAATGCTTGAATACTAATCAAACTTGGCACAAATGTTGACTGGACCATTGCCTTTGTAACGACATGCTCAGTCTTAAATTTCCTGTTACCATGGCAACGAGGGGACATCTCAAAATTGCCAAAAATCACTTTTTTGCCTCGATTTTTTCCATCAAAATTTATTTCAAAGTGCTGCAACTTCTCAAGGGATTGAGATAGAGTCAAAGGCTTTTCAGAGTTGGTTACACGTTACCTTATGATCGACCTGGGGTCATTTTAAGCCTCTCACAAGTCCAAAATTTTCTGGCGATGAGGGGGACTCCGCCCCCCTTCAAACCCCCAAACAGAAGGGGGCACATCCCTCTTCTGGCAACCCCCTGATGTATCTTTTGAATGGGGGGCCGCGCCGAAAAAATGGTCACTTTTTTAACAACATTTCTCAAACGAAAAACAGTCTTTGGGGCCTAAATAGGGCATTTATTCACTATTTGAGGCCTAAAAAAAAGGGGGGGGGGCAAAAAGCCGTCGAAACACACTTATATAAGGGAAAAGGTTAACAAAAAATGATGAAAAACCTTGGAATCACCCAAAATCTAGTTTTCCATGTAAACATGTGGTCTTTTACCTAATTTGGTGAAAAATTGATGTTTTGTAACATTTATAATTTTTTTAGTTACCCTTTCCCCCATGAGCGTATTGTGAAAAATGGCCATTTTCACTGAAAAGCCTCCTGTTACAAGTTCAAACTGCTATGAAACTATGAAAAATGCTTGAATACTAATCAAACTTGGCACAAATGTTGACTGGACCATTGCCTTTGTAACGACATGCTCAGTCTTAAATTTCCTGTTACCATGGCAACGAGGGGACATCTCAAATTGCCAAAAATCACTTTTTTTGCCTTGATTTTTTCCACAAAAATTGATTTCAATGTGCTGCAACTACTCAAATGATTGAGATAGAGTCAAGGGCTTTTCAGCGTTTGTTACACGTTACCTCATGAATCAGTCATGATGGACCTGAGGTCATTTTTATCCTCTCACAAGTCCATAATTTTCTTGGTGATGTGGGGAGCTACTGGCATCTTCAAACCCCCAAACAGAAGGGGGCACATCCCCCTTCTGGCAACCCCATGATGTAATATTTGGATGGGGGCGGCGCCGAAAAAAATGGTCACTTTTTTTTAACAACATTTCTCAAACGAAAGACAGTGTTTGGGGCCTAAATAGGGCATTTTTTCACTGTTTGAGGCCTCAAAAAGGGGGGGGGGGGGGGGGGGCAAAAAAGCCGTCGAAACACGCTTATAAAAGGGAAAACGTTAACAAAAAATGATGAAAAACCTTGGAATCACCCAAAATCTAGTTTTTCCATGTTAACATGTGGTCTTTTACCTAATTTTGGTGAAAAATTGATGTTTTGTAACATTTATAATTTTTTTAGTTAACCCTTTCCCCCATGAGCATATTGTGAAAAATGGCCATTTTCACTGAAAAGCCTCCTGTTACAAGTTCAAACTGCTATGAAACTATGAAAAATGCTTGAATACTAATCAAACTTGGCACAAATGTTGACTGGACCATTGCCTTTGTAACGACATGCTCAGTCTTAAATTTCCTGTTACCATGGCAACGAGGGGACATCTCAAAATTGCCAAAAATCACTTTTTTGCCTCGATTTTTTCCATCAAAATTTATTTCAAAGTGCTGCAACTTCTCAAGGGATTGAGATAGAGTCAAAGGCTTTTCAGCGTTGGTTACACCTTACCTTATGATCGACCTGGGGTCATTTTAATCCTCTCACAAGTCCAAAATTTTCTTGGCGATGAGGGGGACTCCGCCCCCCTTCAAACCCCCCAAACAGAAGGGGGCACATCCCTCTTCTGGCAACCCCCTGATGTAATATTTGGATGGGGGGCGGCGCCGAAAAAATGGTCACTTTTTTTTACAACATTTCTCAAACGAAAGACAGTGTTTGGGGCCTAAATAGAGCATTTTTTCACTGTTTGAGGCCTCAAAAAAGGGGGGGGCAAAAAGCCGTGGAAACACGCTTATATAAGGGAAAAGGTTAAAAGACAAAGAGAAGTTTGCCACATTTTCATTACCTTGAATAATCAAAGGATAAAGTCAATACAGTTTTCATTAATTCAATCATAGTGACATGTGCAAGATTGGATTTATCTTAAAACAAGAAGGGCATGATGGCCCTACATTGCTCACCTCAGATTCATTGCTAAAAAAAATCATTTATCTGCAAAGAAGTATGCTACCAGGTCACATTGAACAGGGCAATTTTACGCAATAAGGCAATATGTCATAAAAGTACCATGATTCTTATTAAAAACAGGGTTGTATAGGGGTTGTAGTTGCAACAGGAGTAAATTTTGTTTTCCTGTATACATTTGTATGTCTTTATAATTAAATTACAATGTGCCTCCAGTGTGGACCAATATTAACGCACAAGGGGCATGATGATTAATTAATGTGATATTTGTAAAGGGCAACATGCCAAAAATCTGGGTATTGTATATTTTCTGAGAAGATTTTTTAAAGATTTTATCTATTAAGTCTTCCTTAATTTTCAAAAACGCATCTGTGAGCACTATGTGCTCAGCTGAGTTGAAAAAAAAGCCGTATAAAGATCCATATTATAATCCTTGGATACATTTCTATCAAAGCATATTTCTAAGTTTTCCTGATTATCTGAAAAGGTGTTGTGAATATCAATAAACATTTATTAATCAATTATCACTCATACCTTACACAGAGGACAAAATCTCCTTTAATGGACTGACTTTCACGCACAAGAAACACTCCATTTGTATGAACATTATCCAAAATCTCATTTGTTTCTTCTCTTGACAATGGACCAAAATACCAACTGAAAAAAAAACCCACAAAAACAATAAGATAAAAGATTCTAATTGTTGTTTTTTTCTAATGTTTATATAGAACTGTAGAAACAAACTAGAAATGTGTCATCATGCCACGGATGCCCCCGCATGCAGCCAAAATTTCAGATGTTATAATATTTAGTTCCAAATTTGTTTGCACAAATTATTATTTTCATTTAAAGTTCAAAGCCCTTAAAACTTTTCAATGTTAACACAAACCATTTCCATACAATGTTCAAGGCACTGAAATTATTCAGTCTTAACCTTTTGAAAATAGCATATTTCATATTTGTAGCCAAAATAATGGCTACATACATTTCCACAAAAGTATGAGTGCTGAAACTGAAAGTTCGAAAAAATTTTCCAATATTCAAGAAAAGATAAGTTTGTCCAAAATCATTGAACCACGACCAAATTCAAACTTAAAAAACTGCTTTTCCTAAGATGTATCTATATTATTTTCAAAGTGAAAGGGACATAACTCTGCCAAAAAAAATCATCGAACCATGACCAAATTCCAACTTGACCTGCCCATTCCTTTGACATATCCATATGTCAAATTTGAGTTGAATATGTAACACTGCTTGGTAGATAATGAACAGAAACTGTAAATTTCATATTAATTTCAAAGTGAAAGGGGCATTACTCTGCCAAAAATCATTGAACAAATGAACAAATTTGAACTGGGCCTGGGCATTCCAAAAACATATCCATTATTGTCAAATTTGAGTTGAATGTGTTGTACTGTTGGGGAGATAATAAACAGAAACTGAAAATTTCATATTATTTTCAAAGTAAAAGGGACATAACTCTGCCAAAAATCATTGAACCATGACCAAATTCAAACTTGACCTGTATTTTCTCATGACATATCTATATGTCAAATTTGAGTTGAAAATGTTGTACCGTTGGGGAGATAATGAACGGAAACTCAAAAATTCATATTATTTTCAAAGTAAAAGGGCATAACTCTGCCAAAAAATCATCGAACCATGACAAAATTTCGAACTTGACCTGTATTTTCTAATGACATATCCATATGTCAAATTTGAGTTGAATGTGTTGTACCGTTGTGGAGATAATGAACGGAAACTCAAAATTTCATATTATTTTCAAAGTAAAAGGGGCATAACTCTGCCAAAAATCATCGAACCATGACAAAATTCGAACTTGACCTGTATTTTCTCATGACATATCCATAAGTAAAATTTGAGTTGAATGAGTTGTACCGTTGGGGAGATAATGAACGGAAACTGAAAATTTCATATTATTTTCAAAGTAAAAGGGGCATAACTCTGCCAAAAATCATCGAACCATGACCAAATTCGAACTTGACCTGTATTTTCTCATGACATATCCATATGTCAAATTTGAGTTGAATATGTGCAACCGTTACTAAGATAATGAACGGAAACTGATGATGACGGAATGACAGAATGACGGAAGGACGGAATGACGGAAGGACGGAATGACGGAAGGACGGAAGGACGGAACAGGGTAACACTATATGCCCCGGCCATTACATGGCGGGGGCATAAAAATCTTATTGAAAATGACATCAAATATGTAACACAGCTTTCATAGAATAGAATTCATCATTTCTAATACAATGAATATTTACACAAATATTGCTTAACAGAGTTAACTAGAAAAAGTAAATAATTTATAAAATGATTTAGTGTCTATAGCAGGGTTTTACGGGACGCAGAATTCTGCGTCCCTATACGCATAAATTTTGACATGTACGCATATAAGTTATCCACTTGCATCCAAGTGTACGCACAAAAATAATTCTAGACAATAGATATTATTGTTTCTGACCCGACATGATTTTATCTCTTTCTTCTCGAAGCTCATAAAATTCCATTTAAACCTAATGCTTGCATTGTTTATTCGGAAGTTAACTTAATTGAAATCTACTGCGCATGCTATTTGCAAGTGCCTGCTGCAGAAATTGATGACGTTTATCGTGCAAGCTACAGTAACTGATGACGTTTACCGTAAAATCTATTTTTGGTAGCTGTTTTTGGTTTTTCTATTGCTATATTTAGACGGACTATTTATAACAAGCAATTACTATTGGTTAGCGTATCCCATGTCGATCTACCAGTTCGGCGATTGTATTTTGTACATGAACAGCGATAATAAAAAATGCAGTGCTTTTTGCAAAGTGTTGTATGAAAAAGTGTTAGAAATTAAGTCACTAGGTATGTTATTATCGTTGGTGTTATAAATATAATGGTTTCGGCGAACTTAATTTATGACTGGGACATCAAGTATGTCCCAGCTTATGAGGAGGTGCAAAAGTGGTTTTGTCAGCCTTTTGTTTTATGATATTTTTAAAAACGCAACATATTTAGCTGACTGGTCTGTAAAGATATCTATTGTGTGTTTACTTGTTCAGCTAAAATATTTACAAATAGATCAGTACAAATTTTCAGTCTGTTGGTGTAATCACCTTGTCAATAACAAAATATGCTACTAAAACTTGACATTCCAGCCACTCAAAGACTTATAAGCCTTGGAAATAGCACATGATATTATTGTAAAGGGCTACTAAAATGCTATAAAAAAACCTAGATATAAAAGATATTGAAATCATATACTTCTTATGAAAACAGTACAATATACATGCATATTTCTTACAGGGTAAATAAACAATTTTAAGCAAAATAGAGTGGTCTCCATAGTCTTTTAGAGTGAATATAATTTTGGACCCCTAAAATTCAGGCCTGGACCCCTACTTTTCTAGGCTGTGCATCCACTGGACCCCTAAAATTTCAAAGAGATGTAAAACCCTGCTATAGTTTTTGCTTTTAACCTAAATTGTTAGAATTTTTATGTCTAATCATATGTGAACCAGGGCTTTTTCCACAGGTAGGGTTTGAAATTTCCTTAATTTACAGGAGAAAACTGCCCTGTATGAAAACTTGGGTATAAATCTGCCTAAAATATAAAAGGACTGCACCACTCTCTAAATTGAACATGACAGATAAATTAAATGTTATGGATATTGACAGAACTTTCATTGGGCCTTGAGACCTATTTATGGTTCACATTGAGTAAATAATAAAATTGAAAGGATTTATGGCAAAATGTAAAATTAGTAAAAAATTTAGTTTGACATTCCTGTATTCACTCACTATATTATAGCGAGCTCGACGAGCTGGCCCGAAGGGCCTGCTCGCAAAGCGAGCTTTACGGTAACGCGAGTACCTGCTAAGTGATGGTTTTGAAAACTTTCCTCCGAAGTACCGAATTGGACACATCGCAACTTTTCGAATTTAAAGATAACGATAAAAACTGAGGAATTCTGACTGAAAACGGATGTGTACACTGGTCACCCGCGCACGTCTATGGGAACCATAATTGGACAGGGAACCAGAATTACGGAAGCTGTGTATAAAATATCGAATGACAGTTTTAAAACGGAAAATGTAAAATGAAAAATGAAGGCGCCATTTTGGTTGAAAAATCTGATAAATAAAAACAATTTTTTTGTCAAATTTTGTTGTGAAAACTATCTAGAATGAAAGAAAATGGTCTAACTAAGAAAATGAATCCGAACACCAATATCTTTTATTCAGTCGTTAACGCTGTACAGACGTTTAAAGTATTGTTTACGTGACGTCACAATGTAGCGCCAAACAGCACGTGCAAAACAATCAAATCAAGTACGTTTTCTAATGTCGCAAACGTTTAAAGTTTTACATTTATTTCACTTTTAATAATCTTTATTTCGCTTGAAAAATTATAGTGAAATAAAATAAACAAACAAAATTTTATCAACGTTTTCAAAACTCGTTATTCATTTAACGACAGGGGCGGAGCCATATTTAACACAGTACGTGTGATGTCACATGCACTCGTCACTGAATTTGAAATAAAAATGAGCGATTATTTCATACTATTTCACGTTAAAAGTACATCGAGCTCGCTTTGAGGCTTTGCCTTTTTCATATTAATTATGTCATGTTAATCAAGCTCGCTTTGAGGCTATGCCTTTTTCATATAATTTACAGGCTTGTGGGTAAGTGCTTACTATCATCATATTTTTGATGACAGGACTTTACTGACGTAAAAAGAGATGAGAAGTCTTCATGGAGGTATGTCAAAAGGTATAGACTTTCAATTATTTAGTTCAGGGTACCGTTTAGTTTATGATTGAACGGTCGAAACTTCCTTGGACGAATCTCAGGGATCCCTTTAAAATTCTTTTCTTATATAATTTAAGGAAAAATATTTTCATTAAATCGGTTGCCTAGACCTCACCTTGTTTTGTCGTTTGGGTCAAAATCCACAGCCATATTCAGTACTTTTAGGGCGGCATCTAGAAAATAATGTATAATTTCCGTACTTTTCTGCCAAATATGGCGGCGGGATTTCAGAGTTACTCCCCTTACACCAACCCAAAGGAAAAATTCTACCCCTAAGAAAAACACACAAAGACACGGAGATCATGATATGATTGATATTTGATTATATGGTAAAATAACATACTAAACCTCTGAAAAAATCTATGCAGCGAAAAATTACAGAAGTTGAGAAATGGTAATGTCACTGTTTTGCTATTTATCGCGTTGAAAACAACAGTGGTTTTTAGTTGATAGATTTTTATAAGGACATACTGTAACGTAGGAAAGTTGTAAAACTTGCCATATCGCGGTTTCTGTAAATTTAACGTTAACGAAATAGTAAACTATCACTTTTAAAGATTTTTTTTAATTTAAGGTGTTTGATAATATTTCTCTTACATTAGGTTTAATTTCATTGTTCACTTGATAGAAACAAATACTTTCTATCTTATGCTCGAGTGAAATGTACTCAAAAAGTTTTTAGTCATGGTTACACATGAATTAAACAAACATTTAAATTCAAAATTGATATTTTTAATCCAGGAATTGTTTTTGTTTAACATTTATTATCGCTTTTAAAGACGCTGCAGTAAATAAAACTCTGGTATTTGACCTAGCACTTTTCGCAATTGGTTGTTGTTTACTTTACATCATTCCAAAACTTGAAAAATAACTCTTTTCTATTATTTTAACAAAAGTAATCTCCTTGTTTCTCGGCGTCACACTTTGTTTAAGTTTTTGCGTGCACGTAAGGGAATAAGTTGTGTAGTGTTGTTAGTATTTAGAGATTAGCTCCGCCTACTTGATTAAATATGCACACTCTGAGAACTCTCTCTCAGAGCCCTCTTTGATAGACACTTTACAAGATACATGCAATATCGCAAGACCTCTGTTAATACTTCTGTAAATAAATATTAGAATAGTTTATTATATTGAGTTTTCAATACAGTACAAGTTAAACTTCAGGCACTTACTTGAAAGGTTAATATGAGGTCACTATCCAATACCCGTTACTCTAGATTTGACAGAGTTATGACCCTTTGTGAACTAAGAAAAATTTCACATTATCCAGGCACTTTTTTTACTATCAAGCACAGAGAATAATCGGACAATATGTCAGCAAACAACTCTTGTTGTTGTGTTTTTTAAATATAACTGAAAATCTTACTTATAAGCTCGTCCGTGCAAGAAAAAGTCCAGCTACTATGCTATGGCGCCATTGTCGTCTTTGTTGTCCCCTTTGTCCAATCTCCTACGCAGTGATCTCCCCTTATCAATACACCACACTTTTACACTTTTTTAACAAATAAAAAAAACATTTTTATGCTTTTGAATTTATTTTTCATTATTTTGTATACTTTTGATATTTTTTTTTGATAAACTATAACAAACGTAGGTACAAAAAAGAGAAAAATGACGTTTGAATTTCGATGTTATGTCATGTACTTTCATCATCATGTGACGTCTGTGAAGGCAGTGATTACAATCTGCCAAGGGAGGTGATCACTGTTAGGAGTTTGCTCTTTGTCTTCGTGCAAAATGAATCCCACAATTCAAACGTTTGAAATGATTTTTAGAATTGTTAAAGTGATCAGTACATGGAACTTGGAATACATCATCATTAATTAAGGCACACATTTTACACAAGGAGAATTATTCTTAAGCTAACTTATTGAAGTTTTGCCGATTTTTAACTTTTGTTTTGTCACAATTGGTAATAAAGTTGAATGATTTCAGAAACTATTAAAGACTGCTTGATTATTATGATAATTTATACAGGTAACGATATGGCAAGTTTGAGATATCAGGTGCATTATTCTTTAAGCAATATGCAAGTAAGACTATGTGCATTATCATTAAGGCAATATTTTTAAGAGTCATGTCTCTTTTTATCTTATATATGAATAAAATTGGCTATGATAATCGTTGCGCTAAGACCGCATGCGGTACTCTTATAAGAATGCAATTGATATTCATAAAAAAAATGTGAATGAGTGTTTGTATTAAGTTTAATGTTCACTGTGTTATTTATGAAAGAAAACTCTAGTAAATGTGCAGTATTCATGTGAGTTTTTTTTTAAATTTCAAATGAGATTGAAACCAGTGTGTATAAGATGTTTTAATTTTTTCTTCAACGTGTATCTTTTGATCCGCTGGAATCTCCTACTAGATTTAGAAAATAACTTGAATTCAATATGTTTGAAAATGATGACCAAGTGTTGAGCACAAGAATCAGGTCTCCGGCTCAAAGGTCACGGACACACTTGTATGTCCAATTCAAGTTTAGTCAAAAATCGTATCATTCATGGATGGATTTTAAAATAACTTTGCAAGCATGTGTTGCTGTTTAAGATGACATGTCACATGCAAAAATCAAGTCTCCAGCTCAAAGGTTACGGTCACATTTATACATCACAAATCATTATTGTAAAATAATGATGGTGTTTTGTGCACAGCGTCCTTATTCATTGATTGATTTTGAAAAAAAAATGTATAAAAATGTTGATTATTAAGATGACATCTCATTGACGGTCATGTCTAGTAATCAATTCTGTCATTCATTGGTGGATTTTGAAATATCAAGGCATAGCATTGAGGTACATTAAGATTTGTCATGAGCAAATCTCAGGTCAACAACTAGAAAGGTTAAGGCTGTACTGGGATGTCCAAGATAGTACATTGATGGTTGTACCTCGTCACATCTTGGTCATTCATTTATGGATGCTTTTTGAAATAGCTAGGCATACTGAGTATAACAGAAAGTGTTGTTTAAGACTCTTTATTTTTTATTATAGTACCCGTGCCTTTAAGTCAAAGCCCAGGGTTCCTTTATTGGGCTCAGCTTTAGGGGGCATTGTCTGTTTCCAGCGCGACAAGTCTTGTCTTGAGTTATATTGTTATATTTGCATGTTTAATAATTGGTACTTACAAATTTTATTACAATTGATATTATGTTTGTTACCAGAAAATATATTAAATGCTTTTAAAAGTATTATCATCAGTCGCTTGATTTTTTATGTCAAAGCAAAAGGCTTCTGACCATGTAATGATGATGCAAGTTGATGACCTTATTTGATATCATTTACAAAAAAGAAAAATATGCAAATTCAAATAAGAAACAGAAAAAAAACAAATAAAAAGACGGACTACAGGTGATTGTATACTTAACTTTACATTGCACTTTATAGCCAGGTTAAAATGAATTTAAGTTCCAGACAACATTTGCATAATCAGCGGTTAGGAAGGTGGTTTTTGGATGCTACCTGTACTAAATATTAACTGAGAATAACACAACACTTAATAACTTTAACACAGTGAGATTTATTAACATGCATATTACAAATACAGAGATTTATATTCGCACAAAGATATTTTATGTATGTAATGTAAATTAAGTATTATAAGTATATCAATAAGAGTTTAAACTAACAAACAGAAATTTTGTGATTGTTTAATAAGTTATCAAAACCTAAGTTATATAAAAATCTAAATGATATATAATAGAATCAAAACTATAATGTTTTATAAATATTGTTAAAGCAGTGAGGATCTGCACAAAACGGACCTAGCTGAAAGCCAGCCCGGGCCAAGATAGGAAAAACAGAAAATCATCCGGTTATTAATACATGTACATATTTAATTGTTCTTACAAATGATAACTTTAAAATTGATTGGTCCAAAGAGTTAATAACAAGTTCTAAACTAATCCAATAATTTCAATCATGGCAACCAATACAATATAGATTTTAACCGAAAACACCAAGGCGAAGCACCAACTAAATTAACGTTAACAAATTAGGGGGAAAAGCGCAGAGGTTATTTAAAGTGTAACAAATACAATTTAATACAATTATATTCAATATTCAGTCCTATCATACAAAATATACAAACTGTGAAGACGCATTCCATAATATCGATTTAAATTGATATTCTAGTGTAAAGGTAATAATTTCTAAAGGATCTAAACATTAGAATTTAATTAAACCTGAAAATAAGTAATAGAAAGTATTAATCAGATTGCCGAGTGTTTAGATGTTCTTTCTCTTTTGGGGAATTAAAAAAAAAAGATATTGTTAATATGTGGATATTGATTGGTTTCACATTTCTTAATGTTAAAATATAATGAAATTAATTTGTTATATTATAAGTGTGTTAATAGGTTGCTGGCATTATGTATGGAGGATACAATCTTCTGTGATCAATATTACCCTCAGCTAACACCTCCAGTAATATAGATCTCATTCTGGTGATATTCTATTCCTCCATCAGCTAGCATCCCCAGTAATATAGATCTCATTCTGGTGATATTCTATTCCTCCATCAGCTAGCATCCCCAGTAATATAGATCTCATTCTGGTTATATAGAACCTCCAGAAATATACATCTCATTCTGGTTATATAGAACCTCCAGAAATATAGATCTCATTCTGATTATATAGAACCTCCAGAAATATAGATCTCATTCTGGTTATATAGAACCTCCAGAAATATAGATCTCATTCTGGTTATATAGAACCTCCAGAAATATAGATCTCATTCTGGTTATATAGAACCTCCAGTAATATAGATCTCATTCTGGTGATATTCTATTCCTCCATCAGCTAGCATCCCCAGTAATATAGATCTCATTCTGGTTATATAGAACCTCCAGAAATATAGATCTCATTCTGGTTATATAGAACCTCCAGAAATATAGATCTCATTCTGGTTATATAGAACCTTCAGAAATATAGATCTCATTCTGGTTATATAGAACCTCCAGTAATATAGATCTCATTCTGGTTATTTAGAACCTCCAGTAATATAAATCTCATTCTGGTTATATAGAACCTCCAGTAATATAGATCTCATTCTGGCTATATAGAACCTCCAGTAATATAGATATTATTCTGGTTATATAGAACCTCCAGTAATATAGATCTCTTTCTGGTTATATAGAACCTCAAATAATATAGATCTCATTCAAGTCATATTCTCAGTTCTCCTAGCTCATCCAGTCATAATACAGTTCTCATTATGGTTATATTCTCCTATATTTTCCATCAACAACCTATATAATAAATGGAATACACTGAAAAATAAGCCAATTAGATATCTATTTTATCAGATTCAAGTAAGCATAACATTATAATTAAATATTTCATGATATATGTGTTTTTGTCAATTTTCCTTTCCAACAAGTAAACAGGAGAGAAGCCGGCATATATGAATTTTTGCCACATTGTTTCTTGCTCTTTGCTTTAGAGAACACAGGTAACATTTTAATGCCTGTTTAGGTATGTTTTCTTGTTCCAAACATTGTCCTAAAACATTGTAAGCTGTTTCGTTATGTGTAAGATTTTCATCTGTTTCTATGGTGTTTGCAAGTTTATTAATAGCTTTTTTTTATCCTTATACCTATGAAGATGCCTGTAAACTTTATATTGTAGGAAGTACAGGAAAGGAAGAGAATCAACTACAGCCAAGTCCATCCAGAAGTCTTTAGCTTGATTATTGTGTTTTATGTCATCTGGTGTAGATCTGAACATTTCATATTGTAGTTCATGTGGAACACAGTTGATCTCTTGCTTTAAAAATCTGACACAAAATGCTATAATATCTTTGACAAAGTCTTCATTTTGTTTATTACAAAACCTTCCAAATTCTGCTGTTGCTTCTGGTGGTCGAGGCATTGTATACCTGCAGCCACAGAAAGGTGAAACAGGAAAGGAGTGAAACTGACTTTCAGTCTGTCTCAAAATTATTTCAGTTTTCTCCATATCTCCTTCACTGTAGAATACTGAAGCCAATTTCAGTCTGCCAGATGAGGTGTCTGAGTCAAAACCATCTAGTAGCCAAACCAATGCTTGAGGTGACACTGGATGTTTTAAACCTATACTTGCTGAAGCCAGGGCAGATCCATATGTGGTACAAATTAATGGTGCTTGAAACTTGCATGCAGCCTGTTCTAATGTATTATCATTTTTCTTATAGGTCATTAGTGTTTCCACATAGTGCTTCATTATTCTTATATCTTTATTATGTAAAAGCTGTAATTGAGAGTAATGGTTGTTACTGATTTCCATTGAAATTGAAAAGTAATGGTTAGAAAAATAACTTCTACAATCTACCAGAGAAGAATTTAAATTGTATACTAAGTTCAGTTTATATCTAAGTCTTAGTCCAAGATCATCAATATCGATTTTTAAAATACTTTGTACATCATTCTGAATAAAATCACTTATATTCTTTAAAAGTTTATGTTTTGTCTCAGCCGTAAATTGGCCAGCCATCAAATTGTTTTCCGGTATGATGAAGTGTGGCAAATATTCCTTCTCTACACAATTGTGTAATCTTATTAAGCAGTCTTTTAAACAATCTAATAAATTGTTCTCTTTCCATATACTTGCTTCTTTGTGTTCTATACAATGAAATAGAATTGTTTTACACATAAAACTTGATATATTAATTTCCCTTTGAGGATTTAGAAAAGATTTTAGAACCATTTTTATGAAAACATAGCACTTTATTTGAGTCATATTTAAATCAAACATAAGACATCTTTCTGCCAATGATGTAGATATTCTCCATTCCAGTTCAGGATTTGCACTGACCTTACTTCCAGTTGGAACAACAAAACAGCAGGTACTGGCTGCATCTCTTCTCATGTCTTGTGTTGGCCATCTGCTAATACGATGTCTCTCTAACCAACCAGATGCTGATTTTGGCCATGATTTACAGGGATAAGCAAGCACATAGTCTAAATCATTGAATCCATGTGGCCCTTGTGTACAAATAGATGGTCCTTCCCGTGTTTCATTTACACGCATATCTAACATAGTATTTATTGTGTTCTTAAGCAAAATTCTTCCCCTTCTATCAGTCATATGGTAGCCATCAGGAATGATAGTGCCAGGAAGAGGTTTGTCATTTTGGAATAGCTGTAGAAAACAATACCCAGGGGTAGTGTTCTCATCCTGTATCATGAAGTAGTTTACTTTACCTTCTTCCCATTCTGACCGGTCCTGTATTACATTGGCATCATTCGAACAAAATAAAATGTCACTGTCTGACTCTAGTCCTATAGTTGTTGTTCCTTCACTTCGACTCCCTAGTATATATAATATATTATTGAATCCAAATGACTTCCGTGTCATCGTTTGCATTGTCTCTATCAGCAAGAAAACTCTTCTTCCTTTTTTCATATTTCTTTCATTGACACCAATATCATCTAAAACCTCTGATAACATCAGTGAAAAATGTGCTCTGCTGTCGGTCGATTGAAACATTCTGAAATGTAAGGAAAGGGAAAATGGTATAAGTAAGCAACAAAGTAAAATACTTTGACTTCTTCCTTTTTGTCATTTATACCCTAGAACAAAACAGAAAAGGAGGTCCAGTCTTGTACCGCTCTTGAACATTGAGTACCGCTCAAGCCGGTTCTTGACGGCGTAAGGGATGATGCGCTTTCCAATTACCCCTCATGTACAGACCCAGTCAAACAAGTCTGCAATTTTCATGTAATAATGCTGATTTAATCAGTCGGGCATACTTCCTGATCGGGAAACAAGGGAATTTCCCTTCAAGGCTTCCCGATCAGGCAACAAACGTCAAAATCCTTCCCGATCGGGAAGTTTATTGGCCTTTTTTTACGTAGTTCAGGAAAATGGCCGGTGCAGAATAGTTTTCAACCCACTTTAATATGAATATATTACATTTAAGTGAAGAAAAGATACATCTAAAATCCTACCGAGTCATTTTCTTTTAAAATGTCTAAAATTAAAATAATCTGAAAGTGAATTTGAGTGAAGTTTTACGATTTTACTAAGAAGTAGCTGCTTCCCGTTTTGGAAACACTGTTTCCTGATCAGGCATCTAGCATAATATTCACCATTGAATGTTTCCCGTTTGGGAAGTTTTATTCTTTAAGTTAGCGCGTTCTATTCTGGAATTCTTTCGTGCTGATTTAGATTGCTTGGGACAACACCAACAAATAAAGTTATCTGTGCAACAAATCAGCATGTGAGTCATGGTGTGAATGTTTTGAAGTCAAGTGTGTCTAGCAGTTCAGATACAAATGATAGCATCATAGGTGGTGTCTTCTCAAATTTTGTAAAAACGAATATTCAAATATATTCGAATATGGAAAAACGAATATTCGAACATCAACTTTCTTATTCATACCCGGTCCTAGTTATTTTCATTATGCCCCACTTCGAAGAAGAGCGGGTATATTGACTTGCTAATGTCCACACAATACCTGTATGACTATAAATTGTATGTATACAATTTTATGTTGAATAAAATATATGTTATGTTATGTTACAATAATGTTGGTCCGTCAATCCATTGGTAGACCTCAGTTATTATCTTAAAAACTATTTAACACAGAGTCTTCATATTTTACATACTAATTGGCCATAACTATAGTAGATGACACCTATTGATTTCAGGGTTACTATGTCAAAGGTCAAGGTCACAGGGACCCTAAATGTCAGAATGGTTTCCGCTCATTATCTTGAAAACTATTTCTCACAAAGTCTTCATATTTCCAAATTAGTCATATGTAGTAGATGACTCCTATGATTTTGTGGACTACTTCAAAGGTCAAGGTCACAGGGACCTTAAATGTCAGAATGGTTTAAGCTCATTATCTTGAAAACTATCTATCGCTAAGTCATTATATTTCACATATTGATTGGTCGTAACTAGTAGATGATCCTATCGATTTTGGGGTCTTTAGGTCAATGGTCAAGGTCACAGTGACCTTAAGTATGTTTGTTAATCCGTCGTTAGACCACATTGTTTCTGCTGATTATCTTAAAAACTATTTATCAAAAAGTTCATATTTCATATATTGATTGGTCATAACTATTAGATAACCTATATTGATTTTGGGGTAACTAGCTTAAAGGTCAAAGATACAGGTGTTTTTAATTTCGGAATGGTTTCGGCTCATTATCTTTTTAACTGGAATTTTATTTATACATGTATTTATTTTGGAGTCACTATGTCAAAGGTCAAGGTCATGTTGCTTGAATGTCAAAATGGTTTCCGCACTATATCTTGAAATGTATTTATCACAAAGTTTTCCTATTTCATGTGTTGATTAGTCATATGTGGTAGATGACCCTTATTGATTTTGGTTACATGTCAGAATGATTTCCGTTCATTAGTTTGAAAACTATTTATTACTAAATCTTTTATATTTCACTTAATGATTGGTTATAATTAGTAGATGAACCCTATCGATTTTGAGGTCTTTAGGTCAAATGTCACAGGGCGTTAAATGTCAGAATGGTTTGCTACGCATAATCTTCAAGTTATCAAGTTTTTTATGTTTCACATTTTAATTTTCATAACTAGTAGATGGCCCCTATTGATTTTGAGGTCACTAGGTCAGAGGACAAGGTCACAATAACCTTGAATGTTCAAAGTAGATGCTCATAGTTACATTTATATGATAATATATATTTTATTCCAGCTACTCTCCATTTTGTTTAACTTATTTATGATAGATTTCATTCAATTTCAGCTAGAAAGGGGGACATATATGTCATTATGATATTTCTTGTTTTATTTATTTATTTTATCTTAAATCTTATTCATTTTTTAAAATTAAAGTGGCTTAAAGGGTATGTTCTATACCTTATGAAATATTTTAATAAAATTTATCAACAGCAAAATTATGCTGGTTCCATTATTATATGGTTGATTCCCGAAAAAGTAATGTAACATAGAATAATACACATGAATCTTGTAAGTTAACAGGAACACAATATTGTTTTGCTATTTTAAAGGGTTTTATCCGTTTAGCAATGATTTTGTGCTGGCGCCATTCGCGTTTAAGGCAATAAATTACCATATTTATTTCATACAATCATTTTGGAAGTATACTTTTTTAAAATTCAAACAATAATTTTTGCATCAGATATATAGCTTTATACACTTTAAGTTTCAGAAAACAGAAATATGACACATTCACTACAAACACATGAAGTGCAAAAACACGTCTTGAGCTATAGCCAAAAAATAATATTTTATTGAGCTCTAGTCAACATTTAATTTAACTTATTTACTTGAGCTGCATGGTAATTGTTTTGAGAAATTACTACCTGTGCAATGCTGTTCAACATGTGCTATACAATCTTAACAATATGAAACTTTTGTATTATAATGATGATTTTTGTACTGTCCTTCAAGTATAGCTAATGTTTTTATAGATATTATTACGCCTAACAAGGGCATAAGCTTCGCCAGATATATTCCACTCGTTGTGATTGAATTATTGCCACATGTCTTTAAAAACTGACCAGGCTTAGCAATTTCTAATCATCAAGGCCAGGTACTACTACAAATATAAAGTACTTCCAGATTGGGAAGCAGTGTATCTTAAACTTTTAATGATGAATATTTTGCTAGATGCCTGATCAGGAAGCAACGTTCCCAAATCGGGAAGTGGCTAGTTTTTGGTAAAATCTAAAAACTTAACTTAAGTTCACTTTCAGATTATTTTAATTGTAGACATTTTAAAAGAAAATGACTCGGTAGGATTTTAGATGTATCTTTTCTGAACTAAAGTGTAATATTCATATTGAAGTGGATTGAAAACTGTTATGCACCGGCCATTTTCCTGAACTACGTAAAAAGACCAAAAAAACTTCCCGATCGGGAAGGATTTTGACGTTTGTTGCCTGATCGGGAAGCCTTGAAGGGGAATCCCCTTGTTTAGCGATCAGGAAGTATGCCTGACTGTTAATGTGTCCGAGTGACACTTGTTTTCCAGATAGTTTTAAATTATGAAATTTATTTACATAATTAAGTTTAAAATATGATAAAAAAAGTATTTAATTGAGTTCAGTTTATAGGCAATTAGCAACAATGAATCTGTACAGTAATTAAACAACATATAACATAAAGATAAGATCAGACAGTTATACAGTAAAGACATTACACTTAAACACTATACAGTACTGTAACCACAGGCGCTAGACACATAATCAAATATTTTACATAATCGGTCTATACTGTATATGTATATAATCTTTAGATCTATATACATATATAGACCGATTATGTAAAATATTTGATTATGTGACTAGCGCCTGTGACTGTAACTTACAATTTCATTTTACTATAAATTTGAAAATATGTAGATTTCTATACTGTATATAAAATTAATTTTTACTGACTGTTAAATGATATGTCATAAAATTGAAAAAATTCTACCTAACTGAAAAGATGGCTGGAAAAATCGCTGTCTTTTTTACTTTCTTTTTTGGTTGTCAATGGAGATACAAAGGGAAATGTCTCACTTCCTCTTCCTGTTTCACAGCGGTTACGTCACGCTTTGCTACTTTGTACTGATCAGGGGAAGTAACCGCTGCGGGAGTTTGCAATCTCTTGAAACCTACGCAGTGATCTCCCCATATCAGTACAGAGATCTCTGCCATCACAAATAATTTGATATTTTATATTTTTTAGCTTTTTAATTTATTTTTCATTATTTTTTATAGATCTACTTTTGTCAAAGCACTCTACTTAAAATTACTGAAGACTGGAAAAGATCACTGGATGAAAACAAATACATAGCAGCTATTTTAATGGATTTGTCAAAAGCCTTTGACTGCCTACCCCATGACCTCCTTCTCATGAAACTTAGATGTTATGGGGTCTCCGACCATGCCCTAGATTTATTAACTAATTATTTAACAAATAGGAAACAATGCGTCAAATTTGGATCAAATTTAAGTTCTTTCAAAGATATTTATAAAGGGGTTCCTCAAGGTTCTATTCTAGGCCCAGTATTATTTAACATATTTTTAAATGACATTTTTGATTTTGTACACAAATGTGATCTTTATAATTATGCAGATGACAACACTTTATCATGCAGTGACACAAACATTGACAATGTTGTTGAATCTTTAGAGTCAGATAGTCAGTCATTAATACAATGGTTTTCGGACAATCATATGAAAGCAAACCCCGACAATTCCAGGCTATTGCTATTGGTAAAAAAACTAGGGATCAAAATATTAGTTTCAATTTAAATGATAGTACAATCCAATGTGATGAATCTGTTAAACTTCTAGGGGTAACTTTTGATTTTAAACTCAAATTTGATAATCATATTTCTGATATCTGTAAAAAAGCCTCAAAACAACTAAACGTGCTAAAGAGAATAGGTAAAAATTTATGTAAATTGGGGAAATTGAACATATATTACTCTTTTATACTATCAAACTTTAATTACTGCCCTGTCACCTGGCACTTCTGTGGAGAAAAGTACACAAAAAAACTAGAGAAAATTCAAGAAAGAGCATTAAGATTCATTTATGATGACTATCAATCAGACTATGACTCACTTTTAATAAAATCTAAACTACCAAATTAAGACGAACTAAGACGAATCAGAACTATAGCCCTCGGAATTCATAAAATTATTCATAAACAAGGACCAACATACTTACATGATCTTGTTAATATAAAATCTCATTCTTTTAATTTTAGGTATAAAAATGTAGCCATTATCCCTCAGGTAAGAACCACCAGTTATGGCAGCAACTCTTTTCGTTCCTATGCACCTAAACTATGGAATTCACTTCCTCAACACCTCAGAATGGAAGTGAATTATGACCAATTTAAAAGTCTAATTGGTGCATGGAATGGAGAGAGTTGCTCATGTACTTTCTGTCAATAAACCTGCATTATAGTTTAGCTCCATCTTCAGTTTTATTTCTTGCCTGCTTTCTTTTGTTTTGCTGCTTACTTACATGTATCTGTTTATTTCACATTTGGCTTAAATTTTGTTAATATTCTCAACATAAATGATTATGTACATGTATTATTTTTCCAGTATGCTTGAATTTTTGTTTGCTTATTGTCAGCTTTTTGCGAAGTTTGCTTATTGAGGAGGCTGCTGATCACTTCTTACAAATTTTGTATTGGGGATTTTTATTTATAAAACCTAATTAGTGGTAACAGTTTTGTGATCCTTTTCATTTTCAATATCATATTTCCTTTCTTTTATAGCAGTCCAGGATGTATGTGCTAATATATTCCGCATTTTATCTAGATATGTATCTTTTTATTCACTTATGATACAGTATAGAACTTTTAAGCATATCCTTAGCATATCATTACTATTTATTAATTATTATTATTTTATTTTAAATTATAACATTTAATGTCTACATCCCATATTATAGTAATTTAACTTATCTTTTACCATTTGTCTTTCAAAGTTTAATATCTTAATGTGTTTCTTTTATGAGTTTTATGTTTATATCATTATGCATGTATGTCGGTCAAAAGCTATACATAGCTTATGTTTTGTAAAATGTTATATATTTTCCGACAATAAATAAATTTTGATTTGATTTGATTTGATTTGATTTGTTAATTTTTTGATAAAATGTAACGGACGTACACTGTAGGTACGAAAAGTTAAAAATAAAACAGAAAGAGAAAAAATTGACGTTGGCTTTTCTATGTAACGGTCGATATTTCCATTTGAATTTCGACGTTATGTCATGTACTTTCTTTATCATGTGACGTCTGTGAAGGCAGTGATTACAATTCTGCCAGGGAGGTAATCACTATGAGGAGTTTGCTTCCTGTTATTATAAAAACTTATTGACTCATTTCCCTTTACAATAGTGAACAAGCTATGAAGATCTACTAAAATACATATTATAAAAAGACTTAATAATATCTAGCTCTTTATATTAAAGGTGTCAAAAATTTATTTACACATTATGAACTTATATCCCATTAATTCACATGGGCTTTATTGTAATCACTTTGTCACGTTGGTAAGTCAGTCGGTCCGACTATACCCTATAATTTCAAAACCCCTTAAAATACAAAGACCTATATAAACTCCTTTGTCTAAAATAATATGGAGGTAATTGTCACTTCTGTAAATATTTTTTTTTTGCGTTTGAGATATTTTTAGTTGCAGGTATGATTTGTTTAGATTATAAGATATTGTTTGCATTTCATACTGACAATATTAATTATAAGGCCAACCCTTTCATTATAAATTCATATCTTTTGGACTAATTTTACTACAATATCCATCATTATGATGTTTTACTTCAATCACAATTATGGTTGCTATGGTAAGATAAAAAAAAGTTAAATAATACCCAGGATGATCCCAGAATAATAAGTTATACAAGTAGATCTTCTGCTGACAAAGTTGATCATTGGTGACATGTACAAAATTGATTAATGTTATATTGGGCGTCCGTGTCCGATTGGTAAAGGTCGTTGATTGCCCCTCACTGCTGTAGGCTCAAATTCCACCAAAGACTTTTGATTTTTCATGTGAGGAAGCTATTCAGCTAGCTTACTGAACGTTGGTGGTTTTTCTTAGGTTTCCACTTGTACCTAAAATACTGCACGAAGGACACCTGAGGTCTTCTTCCACAAATATAGCAAAAAAGTCGCCATATGACCCCTACTTTGTTATTGCAAAGTGAAACCCAACAAAACCAGTTGGTAAAGAAATATTATTTAGAGATTAATGCTTGGTTGCTGCTCGGCATTATGCGATAATGGCCCGAAATTGTGCATAATGACCTGAGGGCCGCAGGTCCGAAGGACATTATGGAATCGATGACCATTATCGCATAATGGCGTGCAACAACCAAGTATTAATGTATTTTATACCTATGTCCGAAATACGGCGTATAAAAATCTCCGCAAATCTTGGTTGAAACCCATTCTAAGAAACGGACAGTTGTCAATGTTACATTCAGTTTAACCCTCCGATTAACTTATAAAACATTAAAGCACAAAATAAATATGAAAAAAATGTTGTTTTATTGTTGTTTATATCGATAAATACTCGTTATACTTTTTGTGAGATATAGTGCTAGTTTTTTATGAACTTTTGTGAACTGAGACAGATGTCTGGCTCTAAATGCAAACGATCCTTTTTTTTTCTACCATCAATCTGAAATCATTTTTGGGATTTCTGAGGTAGAGTTATTTATTCTTTTCTAGAGTTTAATCTACAATGTTATCCTTTTTTGTTTGCAATCGATTATGTCATGTAAACTTTTGATTTTGTGTTCAAGTGACAAAGAGTTCATTCAACGACAGCAGCCATCTTGAAAGTCTAGGGCCTACGTCATTTTGTACGTGCGTTCATTCACTCACCCATTATCGAAAAATAACGCCGAGTATCAAGGCAGCCGAAATTGCATAATGACCTAGATCTTGCCATAATGGCCTTGAAATACCAAATATTTTGTTACTATATATAGTAACATAGGTATTAAACAAGTTTTATTATTCCTGATCATGGGACGGGTATAATATTTCTAGTCTGTATGTTTGGGTTACTTATGGTCACAGATCTTTACCGTGACCATGAGACGGGAGTCTTTTCATTCAAAGTCTTCAAATTTCATGGCCTAGAACAGGCCTTCGACCCTCAGACCATTATGTACATCGTCGGGTCATTATCAACTAATGGCTAGCAGCAACCAAGTATCAACGTCTTCATAATAATTATGTTTGGCGGCTGTATAATTTGTTGTTTAATTGTTCTATGATTTTATGTTTATTGATTACTTTACTGTTCATTGAACCTCCTATGTTATTCACAAAACTTATAAAGCAATATTTTCAGTGAAACATTCAATCTTGTCAAGGACTTATCTTTGTTTCTACTTCAATTATTTTGTTTTCATTTCATTTATAAGATGTAAATTCTGTATATATTTGTTAAGTTTATCTTACTTGGTGCTGATAAAACACTGTAAGTATAGTTTGTTTTAAAGTTCTAACAGCAAAATAATATCATTTTACAGAAGTAAAAGGTAATAAATGTACTTAGATCATGTCAAGACAACAAGGTTGGGAGGTAAACGGTAATAACTCTACTTACGACCTTTTTACTTCCGAAAGTTTATGTGACACTTTTGTGTCCCTTAATGTTTTCTCTCGTCGTCGGTAAGTATCTTCCTCCTTGCCCCTAGTTTTTATTTATTTTATTATCCCCCCTTCCCCGGGTCTCATGTCTCCTTCCCGTGCCCTTTGACTTTACGGGCCTATTATTCAATTATTTATTTGTTTTCTTTTATTTCCTTATCAGTTACTAATTATTTATTCTTATGTATATTTTAGTGGTTAGCCTGCCAATGCTCTGCCTTGTGCCCTGTCCTATTTTTGTTTGGGGTCCTCCTGGGCTTATTGCCGCTGGCTCTTGTTGCTGGGTCGGGTGGGGTCTGCGTTCACTGAACGCCGCCCGTCCTTGTTGATCTCGTCTTTCATATTTTAGCAATAAAAGTTCCAGATAGATTGTGGTAAAAGGTTATAAGTGCTGTTATAGCCTTG